CGTTCAAGCTTTATATTCATAAAGGCATGCCTAGAGAGACCTTCTGCTAAGTATATTGTTTTTTCTCCTATCTGTGAAAAAGTAAAATTTGTTTGTCGATGTCAATATTGATACTTAACAAAGGATCTCTCTAGGTATGTCTTTATGGATATAAACTTTGAACATGCCTCTATTATTGACAAAACAATCAGCTCGTTTGTTCGAGCCGTAAGGGAGATATTCAAATTTTTTTTTAAAGTGACTTTTGAAACACCCTGTACATACAAAAACACAATCAGAATAAAATAGGATAATCATTCATTCTATGCATTCTTTTTTTTTCTTTTAGCCATTTTGATAGTCATACGCAAAAGGATCTAATCTATCCAGCTATTGTTATTACCGTCTTGTTTTTCGTATCACTATCGAAATTGACTAAAAAGGAAGAAAGAAATTATAGAATGAATGTTTATCTAGTTTTTTTTCTATTTTGTTCTAATGCTGCTTTTGTATGTGTAATCGATTCATTTTTATGTTATCATAAGTGAGAAGAAATCATTTTCAACGATGAAAAGGTACGTTATTTGAATATGAATTGTGGAAAATGATTAAAAAAAGCATGTCAACGTAGTCAATAATCTTCCTATCGAAACAAGAAATCGGATCCTAACTCATATTGATCAACCCTTCTGAAATAACAAAAAACATTGATCTGCACATTGCTTCAATCCTCCTATTAGAGATCAATTACAGAACATTGTAACTTGATGCTTCACGTCAACGAAGACATCATCCATATATAAATAGCATTCGAAAGCGGAGCTTGTGCTTCATAATTTCGTATATCCTGTGCACACAATCTAATCTATAAAAATACTATGCAAAACGTCTACGTTATCGGATTTCTTCTGTTCATCTGTTGTTTGACAACATGCTCGAAACTTTCGAATGAGCGCGCATCAGTTAACCCAACATTACGGGCCCGACGATGCTTTGTATGCGAAAATTGCAAAGATCCGATCAACTTGGCGCAAGAGCAAACAAAATTAGTGGGTGATAATGACTATTGTTGGGTACGTTTTCCGTATCGATAGACAGATGACGAGTGTTCTTCTCTTTCATAGAAACGCGATTTTGGTGTCGAAGGTTTGAAACGGATTGATCGCGGTGGTGGAAGTTCTGTGTGCGTTCCTGTTCCACGGGTAAATTTCTGCTGTAAAGGCGATCTTTGTAACACGGCATCCACAATAACAACAACGATAACACTGCTTCTAACAATTGGCTTCATATTCGCTGTGAGCCATCTGTTCGTTTGATTCTTCAGACTGACGCTCTATAACTTTTTCATCTTCATTCAAAATAAAGAAATTGATATTCGACTTGCAAAAGAATCTTTTTACATGTAGCGAATAAATAAATGAGAGGAAAATGTTTACTAAAGTGTGTAACCTACAAGATGCACCAAGGTGATGCAAAACAAAAGTGAATGATAGAGATCACTTCTGTACGCATATCAATCATTGGATGCTTGGATCAAGATACGCACTTCAATGTTAACTTTTGATGAATGAATGTATGGATGGGTACGGATGAGCTATTGCTTAGTGCAGCGAATGGTGACTGATTCATTTTCGTGCTTTTGGTTCGATCCTGGTAGGATCGACATAAACTACCACAGTTGTTATGTTGACCAGTTTCGTGTTTAAGGTCACTTGGACGACGTGAAATCGTTTTGAAGTTCTTCAAGATAAGCGAAAGGAGTAATATTAGCTTGATGTGCTTCTTCTCTAGCACGATCGAGTTTACAACGTATCCTAGAAGATGATTCTATACCGAGCACATAAGCAGCATCATAAACATTGATGATGACTGAATTAATCGATCCTCTCTCTATATATTTTTATTCACGATTCATTCGAAGGTAGAGATGCACTGGATAAACTAGATCGACATTCACTGAACACTAGCGATCATTGAAGCACTGACAGTTACTGATACGCTAACTACACTGGATTGATGTTTACTGATTTATCTGACATATCCATATTGTATGAGTATGCTAATATTCCAGTGAACACCGATCCAGTGTAGTCAGTGTATCAGTAGACTCATTGCTGATAAAACACTGTCAATATTTCAGTGTTTTTACTAAAGTTGCATATCTTTAGTCAGGGTGGATGTACGTCTTTGGTGGTTACAAGACTCCCACTCACATCCAAATCTACGTAAGGACAAACTTTGGTATGTCTTTTGATAAGGACACATGTGACTATTCAATTCTTTTCAGCGTCTGATAACACTATTTGTCTATGAGTTGCTTGCTTCACTTTCTTTGATCTCATATTCTTGCGTCGTGAACTTTTTGTTCTGTTCGTTCAGCATATTTTCGTCTTTCTTGTCATTAAGTAGATGGTCAGAGACTCGCAATGATATCCGAAGATACCCAACTGATTTCGGCGAGCTATCGGAATTCTATCTTGAAAAGTTCAAATCTCCTCACTCATTGATTCAACTAATTCGTTGCTAATCTTCACACTTTTATTCTGACCATTTCTGATCAACGTCACTTCAGTCGATGGGAAAAACAAACAGGTTTAGCGTCCAATGCAGAGATTCAAACACTACTGAATAATTACAATAATTGTTGAAATCATGAATAATAGGAGACATCGCAGTCTCACAACGAAGACAAATAAACCGAAAAAGGTTCTTCCAACATGGATCATTCCAGCCGTCGGAAACGGCGTCTTATCCAGTCTGAAACGGCTATAAAACGGCGAATTATTGCATTAATTTTGGCCTTATTTCGCCGTAATTCGTCATACCGTATTACGAGCCGTTTCTATCGTTAGAAAACGGCCATCGTTTTTTCTTGGTTTTGCTTCCGTAATCTGGTATGACGGATTACGATGCCGTTTATCGACGTTTTACATCGTTAATCGCCGTTTTATAGCCGTTTCAGGCCGTTTACGACGCCGTTTTATTGGACCTGGGATTTCATGTTATTTGTGCATTTTACTATGATAGTTTCACTTCAATCGCTCAATTTATATGCTATTTCGTATGTCATCCATGATTTCTTCTGTTAAATATTTGTAATGCTGACCCATTATTCTAGAGAAACGGTTTTCGATACGACGAAGTTTCTATCGCCTAATTCATCGGTGATGTTGGGTGAACATAACAAAGTTCATTCGAGATCTTTGTCTTGTTGTATCACTTTGTAAATAATTTCATGTTCATCGGCCACTGCACGATACATGGTCGGATGTTCGGCTGTATGTTTCGGAAGTTGTTTTTGATTCCCGTTATCGTTCACATCCAACATGTCAAAACCAGCGAATACCATGAAGCGAGATTTCTTTGCCGTAGTACCAATTGCATTGAAAATATCAAGGAGGAGACGAGTTCATTTCGATTGTAAATTCAGTTTAGCATCAAGACCTTCGCTCACACTAGAAATCACCACGTCGAAGTTATCCTGTGTGATGCATAAGACCAAAGCACGTCCAATATCACTCTTTATCAAAATATCACCCACAATCACCATCAACTTTGATGAATCCAGCAGGGTAGAATCGATTCGATCACGACTACGAACGAAAGCCGCTACTGTATTACTTTTCTTAAGCAACTCGACTAGAATATGACTGCCAGCAAGCCCTGTCGTTCGAAGACGAGAAAATGGTTATGTAAGCAAAAAATGATGAAAACAATGATAGAGCACGAATTGTTTGCGTTCTTTCATCAACACATCAAATGCGCTGAGGATAGAAACGAAGCACAAAGTGTTTCATTTTGAGAAAAATGACTCAGTTACAACGTTATCAAACATTAAATTTGAGAGATTCATCCAAGGCTCTTGGCAGATGTTGCTGGTTAGCAAAATATGCTTGAACTACTGTCAAAGCAAGATCTAGCAATTTTTCTTGTACTCTTTAAATACTCGAGAGAAAAACCTAATCGCTCTCACACTCAGGAAACCAGCAAAATAAGTGGAATTTTCATCCAAAGATTCTATCATGATATGCCACTCGAGCCACTCTGATCGCCAGAGACCAAAATGGAGCCATTCTGTCGTCCTCAGAGCACGTAGCCATCCGATGTCATCAATCCAGGGGGGGGGGGGGGGGCGTTTCTCTTCTGATTGCAATATAATATTTCATAAATCGGTTGGACAAGAATAATGCATTATCTTCGGTACATTTTTACTTTAAACACACTTCATATTGATTGGTATAAATTACACACGCACATCACAGCATGCGGGTGAGGGCGTTGTGATAGGTGTGTTTAAAGTAAAAATGTTCCTTATCTTCTCCAGGTCTTCGAACGAATGTAAATGATCTTAATGTGACAAGCAAACAATCGGTGTCAACTTGAATCGTTATACGAAAGGAGAGGTAGATAACGATTATCACAATGATTTACTCAAGGATACTCTACATTTCTTAGTCTCGCCATTCGCTAATACTATTAACTTAAAATTGAAATGGATACTTGTTTTTTTTTATTGTGAAATTTCGACAAATAGCTCTTACGAATTGCTCCAGTACCAAGATTATTTATTGAAGTGACCACAGGTCACGTATGTACACTATACTACATATTTTCTGAGTAAAATAATTGGCTAAAAAGCACCAATAGTATGCAATTATCAAACCCTTGATTGTTACCGACATCTCTATTATTCAAATAATAAATTAAACTATTAGAAAAGATCCCTTTTTAGTATCTTAAATAAAAACTTTCTCAATAAAAACATTTAGTTCTCATATACTAAAATAAAAAACAGAAAGGCAAATGTATAATAATTATGTCGCCAAAGCACAATCGACAAAAATCTTAAACACACGCGATTTTGATGAATCATCGATCAATACATGCATTTTTCTTTGTCTTTATCGTCTAGAAGGTTTTTATCTATGATTCTATTGTTATATTTAGATAAGCGTATAATCTAAAAGAATTTTAGTTTTTTTCCTCTCATGCTTTAATTTTTGTCTAATTTGAATGTTGAAATGGATCAATATGAAAAAATTGAAGCAAGAAAAAAAATCTTAAATTCTAATAAATTATCTTCATCAGTTTCTGATATTGATCAACTATGTAATTTAATTGATGAAAGTACATTTGGTCTTAAAACTCTCTCATCATCAAAATTTCATTCTGTTCCATCATATCAAGTAAAAGCATTTCGTTCATCGCGTCTTAAACGTTTACATTCATCATCAATAACAAAATCAAATATAATTCGAAATGAAAATGTTTCATTATTTCGTTCAATGCATTTTTCTCTTTCATCATCATTATTAAAAAGATTTCGTTCACTATCCACATATAATCTTCCTCAAACTCGTCATTCTTCATCACCAACAATAACTTTATTTCGTACACAATCAATACTTCCATCAATTAATGAAGCAGAAGTAAATTCATCAACAACAACAACACAATCTCAATTATCATGTACTATTGTTGATACATGTCGAACAACAGCTAATTCATGTAATGTTGAAGAATTAGCTGCTTATTTAGATAACTTTCTTTATTTACCCAAATCATTATCAGGTGCAGCTGAACTTATGTATACTTAATCTAAAAATTTCTTAACATACACAATTAATATGATAATATTTATCGTTTAAATGTATGTGAAAAATATATGAATGAGAGTGTGAACAGTTTGTATAGAATATTGTGTTCATTTTTTTTTCTATATTTAATTGTATACCGTTAAAAGATAAGATTATGTTAATATTTAATAAACTGAGATAGTACTTATATTTTCATTAAATTATTTCTTTTATTATCAACATCATAGTTTTATTTGAATCAGCATCAAATTTTTCAATTAATAAACTGAATCTATTCGTTACAAATTCAATAGTGTATGATGGATTAAAACTTAATTTGATTAGAAGGAATCAGAATGACAGTTGATTGATTGTCATGCTTTGTATACACAAAATCATTGTCGCATGATCTGTAAACATGATTGAAAATGTGTTATTTTTGAACAAAAATTTTCATTTTATTGAAACTTTTCTCATGAACTTGCTTTCTGTTCTGATTATCAAAAGTGTCCGTTTAGTTTAAACTGAATGTAAACGATTAATAGATGTTAAAATTCATCGGACCAGATACGACGAAAGATTTTTTTTCTTAAATTTTGGTTTCTTTTCGTTTGAAAATAATGAATTTTGGTAGATATATAGTTCGATATGAAATCAGATTAAAATTTTTTTCATAAAACATATTCATTAAGATCTAATTGAGATAATTCTATATTTTTCATATTTGCTTATGATTATGCGCTGCATAAGATATTTTGGCAATTCATAAAAAATAAATGCATTTTGATAATTACAAAGTAGTTGAAGGAGTGATTCATTGTATTAAAATTTATTTCAATTTACTCATAACATGGTAAGTTCCTACTCAAGTTGATTTTAATACAAATAGGGTGTAGATATGTAGGTACGGCTCTTGTCTTTGTCGATACATCCTATTTTTACACTCTCAACTGCATCCAGACCCTTCTTAATCTAAGCTAATCCCAAAGACAGATAGTTCATTTCAATATATTTTTCATAATAAAATGAGTGTCCTGACTCAGCCTAATGCTAGACTACGAGTTGTATCCTTTCAATTGAATGTGTAAAAAAAGTATTCTTTAGCTTCTATCATTCATTGGATAATGATGTGAAAAAATTTAAATTTCCTGAAAATAGAAATTTATCATGTCCTCAGTTTACTAGTTATTAAATGTTTTATCAATCAATCTTCCGTTTTGATCCTATACCGTTACATTATTTTCATAACAATACTATACATGGTCTTAAACAAATCAAAATTCGCATGACACATCTCCAATCAGTATCTTCACATTGATCTTCTACATGAACAGTCCTTCAATATTTCTTATTTAAACGATAGATGTCTTACGCATGACTACAGAAATTTTATTTTAAAATATACTATATTTAACAGCTATTTTATTCACAGAACAAAGCACCTGTGTAAATTACACCATATAACTTATCATTGATTGTATCATTTGTACTCGATCGTGATAATGATTGACATCTCAATTTATTTTCTTCTATTAATTTTTTATAACAATGATCAAGTATTCTCAAATAACGCTGCTGAGTAAAAGGCACATGTGCCAGTGCCAAATATCTATTGCTAACTGTATGCATACATACAGACCAAGAAGAACAAAGAAGTATGTTCGATCAAACCATGTCCAATGTAAATCTGGATTAAAAACTTCATAACGATTATGAATAAAAATAATAGTACCAATAATTTCATACCAACTACAGAAAACAAGTAAGACAATCATGGATACAATAGCATATTTATCAATATCATTGACTAAAGCTTTGCTAATAGTCCATCGAAAAGCGATCGATATGAGCAAAATTGTACATTTTATACGAATTCGATTTTGCATTGTACTCGAATAGAGAGAATAAATTCTTAAAAATATTTATTAAAATAACAGATAAATACGTAGATGAAATAGTAAATATACCAATACTTATTAATGTAATTAAAAATATAAGACAATAACCATCTCAATAGAAATATAATGAACGACGAGCTAATCAACAATATCTATAAATGTTACTGTCAAAAATATTTGAATTTAAGAATGCAAAAAATGAATAAATGATTTTTTTTGTTTACTTGCATGACATGCAATAATTAAAATCGATCGTTTTCGTTCACGTCCTAATGCATCTAATTCATCATCACCATTTCGAAATAAAAATTCTTTAATAAATTTAGTTCTTGTATCAACATGATCATATAATTTCCATTCTTGTTATTTCAACAGATGCTTCGCAAATTATACGTGATATTCAGTTTGAATCGGTTTCTAAAATAACTTCTATATCAAATAACACAGATCCAGTTGATATATTTATTTCTTGTATATCATTTGGAAAATCACGTAAATCAAATTTTGAATAAAAATTTCCATGAATATTAGGAAATTCACGGATTTGTATTTGAGAACCACATTTTTTCATTCTATATTTTATTTCTTGATCATAATTTCGACTAATATTAATAATAAATAAGCGTCGATGTCATTTTTTTTTGTGAATAATCTTTTGTAAGTGTAACAATTTTTTCATTATTTATTTCAGTTTGATCATTAGTTGAAAAAGAAGAAATAAATTCATGTCGATTATTATTTCAAATTAAAAACTATCGAGCTTCTATTACAAAATGAACTTGAAATTTTGGCTCTTGAGTATTAATTTCATCTATAAATTATGAATAATAAACTCACAGATGAGAAAATAAATAAAATTCTTTTGTGAAACTTACATATTTTAGAAGAAGATAGCGATTATAAGTTTGACCCGAGGTTTTTGTGGTTTTCTCCTTCCTAAGAACTATCAATCGAGAAAAGGCGCATCAATAATAGCAGTATTTAAATCCTTGTAGAATTTTCTAGAATCTTCCAAAGCATTCTATGAATCCAAGATTTCTACTGTTGATTCTAACTGATCTAAATATCGTACATTTTGGTATTTAATGCAGCAAAGAAATCTTATTGTGGATGTCGATCAGTAGGGCAGTGATATTATTGATCTAATAGAGTCAGAATAGGACAGACATTGAAAAGCATGAACTAATTGAATTCTACGTTTACGCAAAACTTAACAGTATATATCAAAGTTCGGCGAAAGAAAGAATAATGTAGTCAGAAGCTTACTGAACGATAAAATCTTTTTTTAAAACTCTTTTCGAAATATCAGATTTTTTTTAAAAGAATGCCCTTTTAGGATCTTTATGATTCCACAAATAAAATATACGATAATAGTCTTAATAATACATATTAATGCAAAGAAAAATAAGTCGGATGGCAACATGAATTGCATTATTGTCTTCATTAGGATGTTAAAGAATATAGATTTTACGAATAGTTATAAAATACAGAATCTAATTAGAATATTGAAGATATTTATTTGTTTCAGTTAATATAACTTCTATTAAGTGTTCGTTAACTATTTTTAGAATATAAATAAATAAATAATCCATTATTAATGCATTTGATTCTACTACCAAAAAGAACCATAGATAAGTTCAGTTAGTACAGAACTTCATATTACCGGCTCCCATCGTACGAAAAACGAGTTTGTCTCCGGTTTTTATTTCTAATAAATACTTCGATCACTTGGCGGTATCAATAGTTGTAAAAAATTATTATGTTTGTCTTTTTATAAAGTTGAATGCATTTTGCATTCGCTGATATTCTATTTATTAATTAACAGAGGCCATATCAATATACGTAATTATGAACAAGAGGTCAATAAGTGAAAAACATATACGTTCAAGAAAATTATTATTAGAAGTAAAGCTGAAGCTCAGTATAACTGGTATTAAACAAATGGCAATATATTATTTTTATTTTAAATATTGATAATTGATGAAAAAATTCTTTCAAATAAATTTCTATTAATGAATTGCATAATCAATATATATGTAATCTTCAAAACGATTGCCGATGAAGTGTAATTATATGAACGAGATTTACTCTCAGGAAATTGCTCATATCTTCCAAGAAACCAAAGATTGGATTCATATTTTATTTTTTTTTTAGAGTTATAGAATTTTATTCAACTCTCTCTATTCAACTTAAACGAGTAATTATCTTCTACTAATAATTATATGTCCAAAATGTATGATTTTGCAAACATCGTCGGTAGATATGCCAGAGTTGTAACTGTCAAGGTCGACGAATACGGAGTTCGTATACGCTTATAAACTACCATATTTTGACGGTTTACATGGTTCAGTGTTACGGTCGTATATGGCCGTGACCATATACGGAGCAAAACGGAGTCTGTATAAGAACTCCATATACGAGGATCGTTAACGATGTTTTTTTTCTCCGTATATAGTGGTTTACGACTGTGGTTGTCTGTTCTGGGTAAGAGCAAATTTTAGTACTTTTATCAAAATAATAAAATGATATGATTTCAGAATACCAATTATTTTACCTTTGACGTTCTTCATCGCTCTTTTTCTTTTATTTCTCTAATTTCGCAAATATTTTACATGAACTTCATTTCTTGATTTAATGAATTGATATTGAGTGAGAGATCAGACTTAACTATAGTTTTCTGTTTCAAAAAAGTATTCGGTTATGCTAAAAAAAACAATATGAGTGTAAAAAATTATTGATTAATATTTAGATATTAGATTTCAGGAAATGACTGTTATTTCCGTACTGCAGAAATGTTAGACATTCTACTCTTCTAGACTTTTTATATTTGAAGAAGTATTGTGAAAGTAGTTAAAAATGATTCAACAAATTGATTAGTTTAAGAAATTTTCTGCACCGAACTCATTTGCAACTTCGATCAATCAAAGCGGATTAGGATTCAAAAGTATTCGATCAATTACAATTCTCAAGCATCCAAGGTGACCCATAAACTTTTAGAAACACATCGATGATTCCTAATATGCTCGTCACTATCCAAACATATCGGATTCAATCAAACCCAATGAAGTCTAGCTTGAATCGTTTGCTGTCGTTGGATGCATGCCAACTGTTCGGCAATCTGTTTCAATAGATGTCATACAAATACAATCAGTCTTCTATTATAAACTTGAATAATAATTCATTATAAAATTTAAAACATAATCTATACTTTTTTTCTCAAATCTTCCCATAGTTTATTAAGTCATTAACATATAAAAACCTAAAATTGTTGTGAAATAGTGGAAAGATATCATTGATTGGATGTCATCATTGGAACAAACAAAGGTCTACATTTCTTAATTGAGTCTTTATAACGATTTATTTGTATGGCGCATTGATTCATTCAGACATTGTTGTTTTATAATTATTTTTTATAGATATTATCTCTCTTAAGTTTTTCTCTTATCGACCATCAATAAGTTCAATATTTTTTTCTTATATCAAAACAATGACAGGAATACCATCAACAGATGAACAAAAATTTCTTGCTACACTTCAAGAATGTTTACAACCTGATAATGAAAAACGTACTGCTGCCGAGGTTAATATTAAAAGTCTTCTGATTTAATATAATTAAGATTTATTTCATTAAGGCTATCTATCAAGAGATACCGGACGAACAAAAAACAATTCTATTAATGTCAACATTACGAAATACAGCATTAGATACACCGGTAAGAAGAACAAAAAAAAAAAAAAGAAAAATTTCTTAAGATATTGAAATAATTATATAATTAATTAAGCTTCGAGCATTTTCTGCTGTTTTACTTCGACGTTTATTTCAAACACAATTTGAAAATTTTTGGCCAAAATATTCCCCTGATCAACAAATGGCTTTAAAAAAAGAATTGCTCGCTCGAATAACACAATTAGATGATGATGATAATATTCGAAAAAAAATTTGTTATATTGTTGCTGAATTAGCTAGAAATTTAATGGGTATAAAAGAAAAATGATTTTATTATTAACAAAAAAAAATAAATAAAACTATTTTTTTTTTTCCTTAAAATTAAAGACGAAAATGATCAATCACAATGGCCTGAAGTTATGGAATTTCTTTTTCAATCAGCTAATTCACCACATAATGTTTTAAAACAATCATCGTTAATTATTTTTGAGTAAATTATTATTATTATTTTTATTTAAAATAAATTTTTGCTTTTTTTTTATTTATTTAATATAACTATAGAGCTTTTCCGGGTATATTTGGTAGTCAAGCTGAACAATTAACACAAATAATTCATCAAATTTTTTCGAGTTGTTTAAATGATCAAGATACAGAAGTTCGTTATACAGCTGCAACAGCACTTGCTGCTTATCTTAAACATAATTGTGATAATACACAATTACTCAATATTTATCGTGATTGTTTACCGTATCTTATTTCGGTATGTTTTTCAATTTTTTTAAATCAAACTTTATAGTACGATTAAAAAGAAACATGATCTTTTGTATAGATTTAACAATACGAATTCGGTCGAATGAAGGCTAAACCATTTTTTTTTGTAATAGAAGATCTTAAATCTTTTATTATATCCAAGGTTATACAGTTTTCCGAAAGGAGGGATTCTATTATCTTTTGTTTATTTTTTGGTTACCTTTAATCAAAATAATTTTACAAAAAAACTAAATCTTTTCGAATTTTTGAGTTCAAAAGCTTGAAAATTAGTCATATATATATTTTTTGTAAATATACTAATTCAAGTTTCAGTTTTATGAAAAATTAATTAAGAAACATTAAACATTCGTTCAAATATTGAAAATTTGATCATAGAGCATTGACTTCGATAGTGTTAATTTCTTGAAACTCATTGTTTACGAAATAATCTAAAGCTACTTGTTGTGAAGTAAATTCTAATGAGGTGTACACCGTAATACCAAAAATCATTTTTGGATTATTGCCGCTTTAATTTAATAAAATGGCTTCATCATAAGGAAAATTTTCAAAAAAAAAATCAATTCTTTGAAATATGAATATCTTCATTTAATTTTCTATAGTATCAGCGTTTGATTCGAAATCTATACTAAAGATATATATTGAAATTTTTAGTTAAAAATTAGTACATCAGTTATAACAAACTATATTTTATTTTTAATAATTTTTTTGATAAACGCTGAGTAATACAGTAAATCTTGTGCAGTACGCTGGTCATCGAATACAAAAAACTCGAAAAAAGTATCTTTGGAATGACTATCCAATTCCGATTAGAAAATTTCATTGAGAGTATCAAAGTATGGTTCGGGGTTGGAGAATTTTGAATCCAACGGACTTTAATATACAGTATTGTAGAAAATGATTTTCTCTGTATAACTATGGAAATTAGAATTTTCTATAATTAAGATTAGATATTGATTTCTATATTAGAAACAAAAAAAAACTAATTGAAGATAATATTTGAGTTTTCTTCAAAAATTCTATTGATATTTTAGACAACAACACATAGTTTGGCTAATACAGATGATGATACTGTACTAAAAGCATTGGTTGATATAGCTGAAAATGTTCCAAAATATCTTCGACCTGCAATTGAT